TATTCCGGACTTCGGTCCGATGCAGTGGGCGGGGCCCAAGTTATTCCGGACTTCAGTCCGATGCAATGGGCAAGGCCCAATATGTGTTATATGTGTTATTATATGGTATGTGGTAGTTTGGGGGAGCTCACTAAGCTTCGTGCTTACGGTTTTCAGTTTTGGTTTCAGGTACTTCCACTAGCAAAGGGAAGGGCTCGGGATGATCGCATGGTACACACCACAATTTTTCTTAGCCTGGGAGTTTACTCTGATATTTTATATGGGATTGTGATATGATAATAGATTTTACGAGATTCTGAGATACATGTTTCATGATTTTATACTATGGTGATGGTACTTATGTTTGTTAAATGGTTTTGAAAAATGAAAATTTTTGGCTTGCATTTTTGGGATGTTTCAGCCGAGTTGGTCCCCCAACTCGTTGAGTAGGTCACTTAACATGTGACCCGAAATCCGCTCCTACTCGTCGAGTCATCCCCCAGACTCGAAGATTTGCCTTCTTGTCTTGGGGTTTTCCTTTCCTTTCTTGGTCTTCTAGATTCTGGGTGTTACAAAACCACATATAAATGTTCAAGTAACTAGGTAATACCATTAATTCATGCAAATAATACTTTTACACAACATGAAGAAGATGCATGCATAACAACTTGTGTTATTATACATGTTTACTTGTATTCTCCCCCAAAAACTTGAAAAAAAAATCGAAAATGGAGGGGTATGAACTCACCTTGAGTGTGTTTGTGGTTGGATAAAGAGATGAAGATGAAGGTTTTCAAGCTTAGAACACTTGAAGATGCTTGAAGAACACTTGAAGATGGTATTACCCTATGGATATTAACACATATTAATGTGTGTAATTGTAATAAAACTAGTATATTTATGTGTAGAATCACTAGATTTATGAGAAAAAGCTTACCAAATACTTAAGAACCAACTTATGGATGAGAAATCTTGAGAGGATTATGGAGGAAAAAGTGTTGAAGAAGATGAAGTGGTGAGGGGGGGAGGGGGGCGTAACTCTTAAGGGGGTGGGGAAGGGGGTGGTGGGGTGGGGTGGGGTGGGGTGGCATGCATGGATGTATGTTGTGTAATAGCTTAGTTATTTGTTGGGTAAGAGTCTTGTTGGGAAAAGATGCAACCATCTTGTCCCTATGTCAGCTCTTTTTATTTTTTTTTTATAAAAATCTAGGTATTTTATAAAAGTGTGGTAGTTTTTATAAAAATAGTGATATCTTTTTATAAAAAGTGTGGTAAAATAATGTATAATTAATAAATTTGAATCCTGAAAATTCGAATTATTATAAAATTCTCAATATCGTCAAAGGTATTAGCACACTGTGTTATGAATATTATTTATACCAAAATAATATATACTTGAATTATCAAATTTCACGTTTGTTAATCCTAAATAGGATTTTTATTCAATAATTGATGAAAAGCAAGGTACTTTGTATTAATACTTGTAAGTTGTACATTAGGAATATCAGGGAAACATAGCGCTTATCCTAAACTCCTAATACTCGTTGTGTTGACTTGGTTGACTTGTTGACTTTGTTTGATCCAGAATTGCCAGTTGTCACAAACTTCTAATTCTCAAAAAGTATATTCGGTAAAATTAAATAAATCTTTGTATGGATTGAAACAATAAGACCATATGTGGTTCAATTGTTTAAATACCATTTTAATGAAAAAGGGCTACAAAAATGATCCAATAAGCCCCATGTGTATTCATAAAAAGATCCATATCATAATTTATTATAATTGATGTTTATCTAGATGATTTGAACATAACTGGAACTCCTAGAGTATTGGAAAAGGCCATTTCTTGTTTGAAAGAAAAAAATTGAAATGAAAGATCTTGGTAAAATAAAATTTTGTTTGGGTCTTCAAATTGTCCACACAAAAAAATGGAGTTTGTGTACATTAATCCATTTATTTAGAAAATGTGCTTAAGAGGTTTTTATATGGATAACTCACATCCACTAAATAACTCGATGGTGGTAAGGTACTTAGATGCCAAAAAGGACCAATTTCGGACTTGTGAAAAACATGGAAAACTTCTTGGTCCCGAAGTACCATATCTTAGTGTTATTGGTGCACTAATATATCTTACTATTAATAAAAGACCTGATATATCTTTTGTCGTAAACTTATTAGCAAGATATAGTTCTTGTCCAACAAGAAGACACTGGAATGGAGTCAAACACATTCTTTGGTATCTTCGAGGTATAGTGGATATGAATTTATACTAATCAAATTCATCAAATGCGAAGTTAATTGGTTATTCAGATGCTAGATATTTATCTGATCCACACAAAGCTCGAACTCAAACATGTTATTTATTCACTTATGGAGGTAAGAAATTTTCTTGACATTCTATTAAACAAACTTTAGATGCTGCTTCTTCTAACAATGCAGAGATACATGATACAATCGTCATTCAAGGGGAAGTGTTATGAAATATTAGTTTGTGAATGACCATTGGAGTCTCAATTTCTCTCATAACTCCTCATCATTATTTAGCATTAGTAACAACCATTTCAATGTGTTTTATGAATTTAATAATGCACCATCATAATGTGCATTCATATTATAACTCGTCTTTCATCTAATTTTGATAGTATAAATATTTGAGCCATATGTATTAGAAACTTGATGATTTCTTCACAAGTATTGGAATAAAAGTTCTTTCCACTCTTATGACTTTCTTTACTTTATAATTTATCTTGTTATTTGATCATATTTTATAACACATTCCAGTTTTCCAGATTTGTTTGTTTGTTTTTTTTCCTCTCCGTTTGTACGTGTTCTCACCAATCATACTATATTTATAAATGAGACATTTTTTCTATCACCTCATGTATTTAAAACCCCCAAACAAATTTCCAAGTACCTTATGCATTTGAAACTCTCACAGCTTTTCACCTTCAAAGTAATTAATCACAAATCATGAAAGGTTTTATAACTTATATAATATGTTTAATAAGCAATTAATGGATAGTCTACTATAAAAATGACATTCTCTTTGAGTAGACATACAAATAAAAATCACATACAAAATTCACAAAGAAAACAAGTTTAAAAGTTTTGTGTTGGTTTGAGGGATTTGGACTATTTTTCGAACCATGTTATTATGTTAAAGTTTTTAATTTGTAAGTTTGTTTATATACTAATTCTTTTTTTATATTTTTCTTGGTGTAAGTATTCTTTTAAGACAATTTTTGTATGTTGTGGTCGAAACTTTAATGTAAATTAGATTAGATTCATGTTACCGAGTATATGTTATGGAAAGTGATATAGATAATATTTAATTAAATATTGTATGTATGTTTGTATGTTTGTGTTGCTTCAAAGTAATAATTAATCAAAAATCATGGATATGCAATATTATCCATAATATCCATGTAAGTTTCTTTTAAAATACAAATTGTCTATCTTATCACTTTATATTTTAGTAAATGTTTAACATTTAAAATTATAATAATAAGTATATTTTAAAAGTTTTTTTCGTTTTTAATAATAAGTGGTTTTTAAAACTATGAAAATAATTATAATAATAAAATCAATTATAAAAAACATGGATATGTCATATTATCCATGCAAGTCTCTTTTGAAATGCAAATTGTCTATCTTATCAGTTTATTATTTAGTGTATGTTTCACATTTTAATAGTAATATTAAGTGTTTCTTAAAAGTCTTCTTTAACTTAATAATAACAATAAGTGGTTTAAACTAAAGAACAATAATTTTAACTAATAATAACCATCAATTTAGAAATGTATAACAATACAGGAACAACAAATAAATTGTATTTAAATGAACATCATTATTGAAATTAGAAAATATCGCATAAGTAAAAATTTAAATTTAATCGATCATAAAAATTGTTAAAAATAATATTAAATAGATAATTATATTTAATTTTATTAATGATGAATGTGGGTTGATGTCAATGAATAATATTATTCAAAATATTATGTCAAAGTTAATGTTAGTAACATAACCATTTTAAATATATATTTTTCAATATTTTAATAATATATTTTTAATCTATGTTGCGCAACGCGTTCTTCTACTAATAAATACTAGAGGACATCTTTATTTAGCTTCCACGTGTCATCAATTTGACAATTTAAAACGGGATGAAATTGGTGAACACACTATCTTCATTCAAAAACAAATTATTGTCAATTAATATGATATAAATTAAGCTATTGTAAATTAAAATATGGAATATGAATAAAATCTAATTTTCCACATGGAGCCAAGTAGGATGCGTTGTTGGCATGGACACAATCGGGTTGATAGGGCCAATCTGAACATATTTTGAGACCAGACAAAAAAAAAGATATAAATTTGGTAAAAATCAATTGTTGGGGCTGTTGACTTGTATTCCATACCCAACGATTAGATTTCCGTAACTCAATTTCCCATCTTTTTATCGCATCTCAACCCCTTCGTTTGAATTTATTTTTTCCGAGAATTGGGATTTTTTGAAGCAGGGATTCAACGAATAACAGAAGAGGAAGCCTACACGATGATCTATTCCAAAGTTCAGTTATTTATCAATCTGGACCTCGTTTTTCGGCTCCTAGCATGCGTGATCTAATTTTCTTAGTATAATAAAAAAAAAAATTGGGCCTTGAGCCCATCATCTTGGACAGGACCGACAACATTTTAGAAATTTTGATGTTTAAGACTCAATTTGACTTGATTAGAAATTTGATAGCTAAATAAACAAATTTTAAATAACTTGTCGTCAATATATATTTTTTAAAATTAAAATGCCGCGAAGAAGCCAAAGTTGGATGTCATGTTGGCATGAAAACTTGATGCACTCATTATAACAAGTTTGGTTGAGATCACACTGAAACAAAATTTAATGTTTATTATTCTGTTGAACTCAATTAGAGCTTTGGTGACAGTTTTTTCGTAAATACCTTTCGTCATTAACCCGCTATAATATAAATACCATAATTAATCATGAAATCAAATCAAGTTTAGGGAGTGGTTTGTGCGTAGCAATCATTAGGACGAAAAGCCAAAGGTCCAGAAGCATAAATGACTGTTTCAGTATTCCTCCTAAACAACACCTTGTTCTCAAATCGTAAAGGTGAGCCACCGACGCCATTGTTGACATTCGATATAAGGTTGCAATGGTCAAGAGGAGATGACACCAGTTTCACACGGCAACTTTGAAGAGGATGATCCAATAAATAATGGGACATCCTGAAACCTTTAAGCTCTGCGTAAAAATACCCATCATTATCGGTGGAATATGTTTTATAGTAACTCAGTCGTCTTTTATAGTTTTTGCAAATAACGCTGACTCTGGCTGCCTCAATTGGCTGAGCTCCGGAGAGAGACCATGGTCCGCCGTATTTACATCTCTCGCAATACACTTTTCCTTCCACCACAACGCGGGCTGTGTTAATGTCATCTCTCGGCGGGTACTCATCTCTGGGGTCATCTCTATATCTGGTGGCTACCTCATGGGTGGTGGTGTTTGCCTTCAAGAAGGCTAATTCGAGGAGGATGAAAATGGTAATGATGATTTGATTGTTTGCCATTTTTGTTTGTCTTGTTGCAGAGCGAAGAGAAGAGTAATGAAAGTTGTTTGTGGGATGAAGATGACGAGGGATGGTGTGTGGGTTATATATAAAGCTTTAGAGTAAATTACATAAATGATCCCTTTCGTTTTGGGTAGTTTACTAGTCTCGTCCCTTTCTTTTGTTTTTTCTTTTTTTACTCCTACTGTCTCTGGAAAAATAATTTGTTGTTATTTTTGTCCCTCTTACCTCACCATTTGATTTCTACTGTTAAATCGTGTAAAAATGACAATTTTTCTCTTTTTAAAAAATTCATATTACTTGTTGTTGTTATAATACTGAGTGATGACGATGACATACAACATCAATAATGGTTGGTCAAGTCTCCGAAGGTGGTAGGAGGTGCTAAATGAGTGACGACTATGACTTGGAGGATCCACATTGGTAGGTCATATCTATAGATTTCTCAAATCCATCGATCGTTATCTCGTTTATTTAACTGCATGTATGAATTAAGCACGTACAATGAAATTATTCAAGAAATATGGCCCAACAACTAACAAGACAATGTTACAAGCCTGAATAAAGCACCCGCAACAAAATCGTTGTAGAAAGATGAATTTGCATACACCAATTTTCCATATGGTTCGCTTAACTTCAATACTTCGATTTCTAGAGTAAGATTCTAAACAACCACAACCATGTTATCAAATCCAATATTTATATTTATCTGGTTGGTTTTGTTTCATGCAATACTATCAAATCTGGTTTACTTGACATGGTCGTTGCATGTGATTGAAGCGGGAGGAAGATGGGGCACCGAGAATGAAAGTTGGGGATTTTTAGGTAGAAGGGTGTGTGGGTGTGGTGTAGAGTGTGATGGCAATATGTTTAATCGTGTGTTGTATTTTCTTAGAATAATAATAATAATTGTGAAAATAAGGGTGCATATGTCATTTATTACAAGTTAACGAGAAAAATAAACTAACACCATTAACGGGAGGGACGAACTAAGCAACGAAGTAATATTTTAGGGACCCTCTAAGTAAAAAAAACAAGGATGAACTTTGCAGATTACCTCAAACCAAAGAGATTATTTATATAACTTACTCAAAACGTTTATTTTGTATTTAGACAAACGTGTTGGTTATATTCAAATTTCTGAACCGAATTATTATAAATTAAAATTCTACGTAAAATCCACTCCTCTCGGTTTTTCGAAGCATCTACTGAGTTTTTAATTTTATTTTTTTTCAAATCATAAAGCTTTTAAAATTATAAAAAAAAATAAGATTTTTTATGGAGTTTATAATTTTATAATCCATTACGTTTTTATGCCAACTCGAATTGATCTACTTTTTGGTGCATTTAAAAAACATGGTGATTAAGAAGCATACACTTTAAACTTGTCTAATCTTTACCAAATTTTACAGATAAATACATACATCATTCAAAAGATGTATCCAATATAACTTGAACTTCAAAACCTTAGGTCAGAAAAAGAATTTTAATATTTTTGGATAAATACATACATCATACATGCATGTTAATATCCGATGAAAAATTACAGATGATAAATGCTTATTTATTTTGTAAATATAGCAACTTAAATGTTTATTTATTAAATGTAAAATCTCTATTCTAATAAATGAATAGTTTTAATCTCCATTTGACATGTGTCACTCTAATATAACTCTTCATTAATATTATGCCACATGTCAAAGAGATATATTAGGCAACACTTCAAAATTCAAATTTTTACTTTTTCTAATTATATGTTAAATTTGAAGTTATAATAACTTTAAAATTTTGGTATATCTCATAATTAATGATTTATTTAAAGTAATTGATAATTTTTTTTTGAATTTTTACTATGGAAATTTAATTTATTTTGTAACCGTGGTTCTCACGGGTTATAAACTAGTTTATGTATATATAGATACACATATCCAAAATAAGTGGAAAAATACAAAACGTAATGGACGTGTTTGGCACGGAGCGTTTGGGAGAGTCTGAAAACTTCTAGCTTCTAGCGTTTGACAAAACGCTCTGTTTTGAACAGAAAATCTTGTTTGGCACTACAAGCTTCTAGCGTTTAGTTTAAACAAAATGCTCCAAATTCAAATGTTACTTCACGTAGCGTTTAACAAAACGTTACAAGCTACAAATTATCTGCTACCGGCTAATTTTGTCGAACACACCCAAAATTTCTTAGTAAGTTAAAGGCAAAGATTTATTTAGAAGAGACAATCATGACATTAAGAATTGTTGCAGCAAAACATGACAACTTAATGACAATAATAAAGTATAGATGACTTGAACTTCAGAAAAAGCTATATGTTGAAATGGTCCTGACTCCCGACAGTCTTGACTGGCTGGTCCTTATTTGATAGCCATGAAAGTATATTTAGGATTCGTGAAGGATCTAATTAATAGTCGTTATGCTCAAAAAGTCAATAACCAATATAATATATTACAGGTTGATTTCGTGTTGATTGAGTTGTCTGCAAAACCAACCTACTTAGCTTCTTCGAGAACTGTTCAAGTGAGTTTTCTCACTATACTATATATTACAGTATGTACCATCTGTATGTTAGGATATAGTAGTATTGTAGTATGATGTTCGTCAAGTAGACTAGTTTAGTCAGTTGCATGTTGTGTAGAACTGATTGTTTATTTGTTTGTTATATATGTGTTGACATATCATGTTGTGGGTTGAGGGTGGACCAACTCTATGCTGAAGGCTAGGATGCTTGGGCGGTGTAGCTGTAACGTCCCATTTCTGGTATGTGATTTAAATAAAG